CAATTAACAATTTGCTTATGAACGAATTTAACAGAAAATAGCTTAGTTTTAAATACAGAATGGTAATAACATTAAAAAAGTGCAACTCTTCCAAAGTTGCTTTTCATGGTTTCAAAGTCTCCACAAAAAAAAATGCGCCTTTTTATATTTCAATTTGAAAATATTTCAGCTTTGCTGTTACTGTTCCATATTTTTGATTAGGGCTGCTGCTTGCAAACGTCACCAGCACGTCCCTATTTGAAAGAAGCAAAACTGCAGATGATTTAAAAACATTACAGGCATATAACAATCAAGGAGAGAAATGCGTGACTTGAATAAAACTTACCCTGTTAGTATTCTATATTCCAGCGTGCTGTTGCTTCACATAGTAATCATGAAGGTTCTGCAGCCGAATCTTTTGTTCCTTTTAGAAGCGGACGGCATTTTTTAAAAAAAAATTAGATGATTGTGCAGCACCTTTCCATAACAAAATGAGAAAAACAAAAAAAAATTAGGGAAATTATTGAATGTATGAGCAAATAGTTATTTTAGTAGTAATGAAAAGAACTTTGGTTCATTCCAGTGCTTAAAGATTTAATACCTAAAGTTCTGTCACCAACTTTAAAAGCAACATTAGCAGAAACTAATAGAGAGCAAGCCAGAAAGTCAGAAAAGCAGATGTATATATGTAGAGGCTTAACTCAGAGAGGCTGTGCATGGGTTTGAAGAAAAGGGCAGAGTTAAGTTATACGAGGAGAGATTATAGAAATCAGGCCTGTTTCCTCTGCCCTTTAGAAGGTTAAGGGTGATCTGATCAAAGTCTTCAAGACATTAACAAGAAAAGACAGGGTAGACAAACTATTTTCACTGACTGGAGATTCTAGAATTAGAGGACATTTTAAAACTTAGGGCCAGACCTTTTTTTTTAAAAGCAAAAGTAGTAAGAGATACAGGCCAAAGGCAGGTATATGAATACAAAATTTGAAAGAACTGCTGATGCTGTAAATCAGAAACAAAAACAGAAATTGCAGGAAAAGCTCAGCAGGTCTGGCAGCATTTATTGAGAGAAATCAGAGTTAATGACCCTCCCACAGATATATTGTTAGGCCACAGATCAATCATGATCGCAATTAATGGTGAAACAAGCTTGAAGGGCTGAATAACCTACTTCCGTTCCCATGCTCCAATGACAGAGACTTGGAAATGCATTGGGATCAGGGAGACTAGGGGAATTTACAGCTACAGGCGCGCAGGTCTGTGCATACTCAATGAATTACCGTTTAAGAATGAAGTTTATGATGGTGCTGGGAGGCTGGCAAGGACAGTGCTCAAGAACTTGAACCATGAGATTGCAGAACATCGAAGGGTGAAATAGAAATAGTGGAAGGCAGGCAGGTGATTTGAAAATTGCAGTCAGAATGCAAGCGGAAAGAAATTCACAATGAGTCAGGTCAACTCACAAAATGCAACTGGACTGCCGGGGGTTAGGAGTGGTAGAGAACAGAAGACAATGCATGAAATAAACATTAATTATTGATTATAAGTGGCACTTGAATTTAGCAGTTTAAATGACATCAAACTGCTGGAACAAAGATGAATCAGCTTGTGACAACAGAACCCTAGGCCGAATTACTGCTTTTAAACTCATCCACAGAATTAAATGTAGTGGCGGTCAGCAATGCAAGTTGCTATAGAAAGAAAAATGTCCCAAATTAAATACAATCTTTCTTTATTTTCACTGTATACACACGTTTTTGAAAAGTATTTCTCACTGGCTTAGCGATATCACTTCAGAGGTCAATATTTATAAATTAGATGCATTTAGATATTATCTGAAATCTTGGTTTAGTTTAGTAAATAATACTTAGTTTTACATTATTCTACCCAATTAATTGTTTGATTGTTCCTCCCTTTTCAACAGTCTGCACGAAGTTCCTTATAAGAGACAAATACACGAAGCACGTCAGAAATCAGGAAGTGCGCCGAGTAACGTAATTTAAAGCTCTGTTGTCTTCAAGATTACGTTTCGCAAATACGATCTCTTTCGACGTAGAGAATTGCCCGATATAGATTTCAGTACAACACATCCTGACAAAAAAAAACTGCACACATTTTTTTCCTCCCTCCAGCAAATAAAACTCCCGGTACCTTCGCAATGTTTTAGGGAAAGATGGTGTCCTTTTGACGTTTCGCTGCCAATCGAATCTGTTCGAGGTTTACAGGTGTGTGATAAACTCAGTGAAATTCTGGAACATGACTTGGCTGGCATTAGCTGCAGCCCAGAGTGCCAGCAAATTAAAAAAAGCAACAAACTTTCTGCATCCGGATCCGGGTAACACCTTTTCTCACTCCCTTAGCAAACACACAATTCGAAGCGTTCCCATAGGAAAATGGGAAGGTTGGTGACCAGTGACCACTTTCCATACATGCAAAGTTGGCTTTCACTTACCCCCACCCAGACGGCCGACTGCACTGGCCCCAAACTCTCAGAACTCTCCCTTTCTTTTCACCCAGCGTTCGTCGCCTCAGTTTTCCTCTTGACGAGAAGTTCAATTTCGAGCGAGTGCTTTAAATTCTAAAGTGAGAGCTGCAGAAATAAATACGGTTCTGTATTTTCGGTTTTTTTGTTTGGTCGCGAACTTATAGAAATCAGTGCCCTCTGAACGCTGGCGTTGAGGTCAATCTGCTGGTTTCTGCTGGAAAAAGCCAGGCCGAACGGAAAGGAGACGGGTTCCTGTGAGTTCCGACCACAGGAAAGGTATCAGCAGCCCCTGAATCGCATCATTTGCCAGGGCAGTATCTTACTGATCCTCCGCTGACTGCCACGTATTAATTGCCAAGAACCTGGTCACAAATGGGGTCACTGATTGATAATTGCAAGTCATCTTTTTTTTTAAAAAAAAAGAGATAAAAATATTTTAAGCTTCACGGCCGGCAATCTCCATGGTAGCTCGAATAGTTTCAGATATAGAACAGCATGTACGAATCTGCAAACACAGTTTCAGGCAGCCCCGACACTGACTTAGTGGTGAACTCACTGGAGGTAACCTGTGGTATTAAGAGCACTGGCTTTAATGAATTCAGTTCGGATATTTTGTGCACTTTGGGGATTGGTAATCAGCATTTCCCGATACCGTTTCTTTTCCCACCGTATTAACAGCTTGAAACAAAGCAGCTCTGACTTCACGCGTAACATTCACTATAAATCCAAGAGAAAGGAAGTGATACAAATCTCTAAAAGTTCTTCGTTTCTCCTCCACATTCGACTAGTTGAAGACACGGCCCAAGCGTTTTAATTACATTTAAACCTAGTTCCCCCAATTGATCTATAAGTCGCCACTGTTCTTAGAAATCTGTACAAGGAAGTAGCTGTCAGTTTGATGTCACCACATCTTCCTAGTTAAACTGGCCTTGCAACTAGGCTGATCTTCATTAGCTGTATCATGCCGTCAGTTGGGGCAAGGCCTGTCTAACGTAAAAGGCAAAAGTACTGAAGCCACAACCCAGGTTGCTGAGTACAGCTAACAGAAAAAGAATTCGATGTTTCATGTCGTGCCCAAGATTCATTGAGCTGGAGGCATAAGGGGGCAGACTGAGTCCCTTTGCTGAATACAAATCGTTCAGCATTAAGAAGGGGAAGGTATGGAAAATACTCGATAAGGGGTTGGATTAGAGGAAGGGACAGAGTCAGAGGGAAAGGGGAGGAAGATTCCAAAGGGCCGCGAGTTGTTGCAGCTTGAGTTCCTTAATATCTGAAAGGAAGAAAAACAGTTTCTCGTTAAAACGTTGACGGAGCCAAAGAATGAAGTGGAACTCTGTGTGGGTGTGTTGAGGGGTGGGGAGGAGACAGTTTTGAGATAGCCTGAAGCGCATAATACCCAGTGCGGATCTTAGGATTTGGCTGGCACAGCTGTCTGAGGAGCACTGTACATCAGGAACAAAAACAAAGTTGCCGGAAAAGCTCAGCAGGTCTGGCAGCATCTGTGAAGGAGAAAACAGAGTTAACGTTTCGGGTCCGGTGACCCTTCCTCAGAATTCAGTTCTGAAACTATTCGAGCTACCATGGAGATTGCCGGCCGTCAAGCTTAAAATAATTTTTCTCTTCTTTTAAAAAACGAGTTCTTAGGAAGGGTCACCGGACCCGAAACGACCTGCTGAGCTTTTCCAGCAACTCTGTTTTTGTTCCTGATTTACAGCATCCGCAGTTCTTTTGGTTTTTATTTAGCACTGTACATCAATGGGATACCTGCGATTCTGAGTGGATTGGAAACATGGAGGATGAAATTCCCGTGGAATCCACGTGGGTGAGTCGAAACCAAGTAAAGCTTTCCTTACCTTAATCCCAAAACACACCAACTTCTTCCATTTGGCACACAACCAACACTATCACTTTTCAACATGTGCATCCTCCCAACTACATTTCAGTTCAGACAAATCCAAACGAATGTATATACTTATTTCGAGCAGGAGACTTTCTTTCCATTTCAGTGACACTATAAATCGAGGTGATAGGTCAGTGCCCTAATCCATTGTACGACTGGAGCACTGTTTTTGTTTTGAAAGGTTATTCAATGGAAAATTGTATAGAAATATCTCCATATTCACTTCATTCCCTGAAAAATGCTTGAATTTTTGAAAAAACGTTATTTCCACGCATCAGTAAAATTACAAATTGATATTCCCAAAAAGAGCACCAATAAAAAATACACCCAATGATCATGTAAATTCACAATGCTTTGATACTAATTCTATGATTTTGTTTGCAAATAAAACAAAGATGATATGTCTTGATTTCAATTTAAAGGAAACATCATTCAGCAGAAAGATCTTCAAAAGTGATAAAAATGTCACAGATGTGGAGACAGATGAGAACAAGTGGATTTCAAACACACATATTACATTAACAAATATTTCCTTGCATGCAGAATTCTTCAAGATTTGGTGCATTCCCCATCCTCAAATGTTGTCACTCATTATCATTTTTTAATGAAATAAAGACCAACAATAACTTGTTTCTGAACATTTATTTATAACTATGCATTAAAAAGACTCTTAAAGACAAAAATGTGATACTTTCAATTTCTCTAATACACAGTTTAGAAAGTACTGTATATCATTTGATAACTGTTTAAAGCATATTGTAAGATTTTGCTTTATTACATATCTACACAGTATTTGATCACACATTGCAAATCAACCTTGCTGTATCAGTATGTTCTACTGATAAATCCATTCCCCAAATATTTGCACACCAGCATTTAAACCCTGAATGTTAAGATACTGAAGTTAAATGAACAAGTTTTATGTGGGGCGAACAAAAGCCTGACAGATTTGCTGACACAAACAAAATCTCCCGTTCAACTTGATTGTGGAGTAGTGAACAAATGAACAAAAAAAAGGTAAATATTTTTGTACATCGGCTGTGCCCAACAGAATTTGTAACAAATTGAACTTTTACAGTATACTACAAAATCGATCTCTCTAGTTAACACTTCTACATGAATAGAAAAGCAAGCTTACGTATAAAAATGACCAGTGTACTAAAAGAGACCAGAATAAAGTATCACTTGGCAAGTCCACCTCTGTATAAATGGCTAGCATATAACAAAGTCTATGCAACAGCTATTATAAATTTGATGCGGCTTTACCTATGTTAATGGTTATCCATTTTGCTGCTCTGTATAGATATGCAGTGTCAATCTCTCGCCACCATCATAGATGGGAAAGTAGCGGGCAGCTGTAGTCTGATTATGTACATAAACTAAGCTTTAGACAAAATAGAGCTATAAATTTGGATTGTACTTTTAGAATTTTCACTATACCAGAATACCAAAAAGAATTTCAATTTAAGATTCCCTTCCATTTCACCCCCAACTTCAACAGAAAAATAAATTGTCTCAGTAGTTCTACAAGAAGAGCACTTCCCTTAAACATTGTTTCAGTTTAAGTAATTTTTGATCTTATGGTTACAATAAATTACTTTGTCAGGTTTGCTCTTTGTCCCCCTCCTCATCCAAAATCTCAACAGTTCATGCTAAAATACTGGGTCATAAATGAAAACAAAATAATTTGCACATTAAAATAAATACTTTCAAAAATCCTGCACCAATACATTTAACTTTTCATTCTCGGAATGCATTTGTTTCAATAAAAAGAGCCATAAAACTGAAGACTGAATGAAACCATATTTGTAATCAATGAAGATTCAAATATACACTTAAAAAGTACCCAGGCCATGACCAGTACAGATCACTAGATCAACTGCTGTCTACTCAACACATTGGCAGCTCTATTCAAAGAAACTTAAATGGATATAATTATGTAAAAACTTATGAATACTATAAAGCTGAAACAAGGTTTTGGATTGCAGTTTGAAAATCATTTTGCTGTACATTCTCTCACGTGTTCTAATGAAAGCATTTTAAAAGTGCAGGTTTTGAAAGTACATTGTACATGTTATTAATTCTGTAATAAAGAGAGCAATGCATTTTTATTACGTATGCTATAAGCTAGAATAAAAGCAGGGGAACTGATCAGACATGGTGATTTTAGACTCTTTTAGAGGGCATAAATCACAGATATGAAATTATTGAGACTTACTGCTTTTTCAGTTATCATTAATATAGGTAGGAATTTAAAAATAACTTACTGTACTGATTTGACACATCAGTGTTCAGTGCAAGATTAAGTTTGTGGGCAATAAAATATACACAGCACTTAAAACTGTGCTGGGTCACTGTACCTTGATTGTAGCAGTACAACAACTTTTTATTATGACAATACTGCAGTTGCCTCATTTGTTTTTAAATAATAGTATTGGATACCCACATTGATGTAAATTGCAAGGTTGATTAAAAAAAAAGTTAGTACTTAAAAACATATAATTACAAAGTAAATGTGACTGCTTAATGTAGACCAATTATAATTTATCCCAAAATCTCAACTGAGACATCCTTTACATTTGGTCCATTCAGTGAAAACCTACCACATGTAACTAGCTCAATTATAAAACAGGCCTTAAATCTGGGCTCTGCAAACTCAAAGACATAAAATAAAATTACCACAGATGCTGGAAATCTGAAATAAAAAAATGCTGGAAACTCACATCCGATCTGACATTATCTGTAGAGAGAGAAACAGTAAGCATTTCACGTCTGATGAAAACTCAGAGACCTGAAATGTTAACTCTCTCCACAGACGCTATCAGATCTGCTGTTTCCAGTATATTCTATTTTTCTTCTGAAAATTCTCATGGACCAGAGACAGCATTTCTCTTGGCTCTGCATGACATATGACAAGCACAGTGCAGTGTGGAGAATTCTGTGTTCCATATTTCTGTTTGCTGACACACTAGAATTTTATATATCCACTGTAAAATAGAAGAAGTGTTTTTTTTTGCTAATAGCAGAATATTTCTTTGGGTAGCTGACATTGCTGAAAGTTGGAAAAGAAGATAATTAGGTTATCAATATTTGCATGGTGGTTTCCCACAGACAGATTACAAAACTACCGTTTGGAAAAGATGAAGATGTAGGTGGACAGCAGACACAGACATGAACTTTTCTGAAATGTATCGCTACACATAACGCACCTGTAATTACTGCATACACACAATGCTTTAGTCTCAATTAGACTCCACATGGGCATAAAGAATTTGTATTTTTATAGTACCACATTAGATATCGCAAAGCGCTGCATGTCCAATGTATTAACTTGAAGTGCATTCACTGTAGTTATATCAGACATTTATAAATTTGAAAAAGGCTATAACGGTATTCAAGAGTTCCTCTAGACATCATTTACCATAATTCCCCCTCCTTCCTCCCCTTGTCACCAGTAAATATCAGAATGTTTCAAACGCTACAAAGACGATATAAATATAAAAAATATAACATTTACATCTTTGGTTGAAACATTCTTTAAGCAAGTCATGGAACTTGAGGGTTGCACTGATCAGTAACATATCCAAACCATACAAACTGCAAAAATTTTGACCAATGCTGTCACTCTCAATTTGAAGAGGTTTTGCCCCAAAAACCACTGAATAAATTGCCGACTCTAAACCAATATGCTGGCTGTAGTATTTCTCCAAATTAGAAGAAAATGTAATAATACGCAAGGAAGATTCCTAATCTGACTCAACTGCAGAAAATTTGTTAAACAAATATTTGTATCATGCAATTGAATAGGAAATTAAAATCTTCAATAGTTAATCCAATCTTTAAAACTTATCATGCCACAAGGTACAAAATCACATTTACAGAACATTTAATAAATCGGTAACATACTTTGTAAGATGACAGATAAGTTTTATATATAATTCTGAAACATTGCTGTGCAGACAAAGGTATTTTACAGATAAGGGAGAGATATTGCAATATAAATTAACAGGTATATTTTCTACAAGGGAACATAAAATGGTTTTATACACTAAGCATACAAAAATAGGGATATAAACTATTTCCTCTTAATAAGGCAGCCCAACATCTTGAAGAGTTGAAATCGGCATCTCATGTCTAGATAAGTTTTAAGCACCCTTTGTGCTTAAAACAGTCCTTACTGACATAAATTCCCACATTTTCATTTCTAAAATAAATAAAATTTCTTTTTTAAATTCATGGTATAAATAGAATGTTCAGTGGATAACTGTGGAATACCATTTTGCTCCCACTCATCAATTCTGTGGGCTTCCTCACAGGAAAAGAAGATGCAAGTTAGATAAAAATTAAGTTCCAATTTCTCTTTAAAGTATTCTTCTACATATAAACAAACAAAATGGTTAGTTTTTGTTCATGAACTTAGTAAATCAGAGGTGAAAAAAGTGCATAAATTTAAAGAAAATCCAAATAAACCAATGTATTAGTTTGGTTACATCCTTCAAATAGAAGTGACGGATTTTTTTTTTCCTTTAGAAAGTGCCAAAATACTTGGGGCATGTCATAAGGTGAGGCAAAGCAACAGCATCAGTATTAAACAACAGTTACCCCTGCCACAAGACAATAACCTAGGACATGCTATGCATGGCTGACATATGGAAAGAAAGTATGTTTTTAACAGTGTCACACTGGAGCGCAATGATGTTTTGACATATGAAAGGCCTAGTTTATGATGTTTCTGTATAATTGTATTAAACTGAATCAAAACTGCCTCAACTACTGATTATTCAGCACCCCATCCTATACAGAGCAGCGCATAATACAAGAATTGTCATTTTGAAGTGCTAGCCTCAGTTACATTACAAAGATTACAGTTTCCTACTATCCAAAGGCCTGACTAGCTGCAGCATCTGGTGAAGCAGTCATTTGAGCTCTTCCTTCTGGCACACTAACCAAGGGAAATTCTGAAAACTCTGCACTACCCCCACGTACTCTCACGTTTACTTGTCCATTGGCAGCACTGTATGGGGGAGGCACACCAGCCCTTACATTCTGGTACTGAGCTCTGAATGTCTGCTCAAATGTACCTATTTGATAGGCCTGATGGACAGGCTGAGCTTCTACCTTCTTCTGAGATGTCATCTGATCCAAGAATTCTTGTGCTGAGACAGAACTATGATTTGTCTCCTCGCTTGAGAAGGAAAAGGAGTGCTGGGACTCGCCAACCATTAAGCCATAGTGAGACTTATCAGATGATATTCGCAATGGTGAATTCATGCTTGACCTAAAACCACGTTGCATTGTCATTGAGGCCATGGAAGAAAACAATGGTTG